CCCGCGTCGCCATGGCCACCGCGCTCCCCGCCCGCGAGCGCTGATTGGCCAGGGCCGCGCGGTACGGCGAGCGCCGGGGGCCTGGCGCCGCAGCACGCGAAGCAGGCCGGGGGAGGGAGCACAAGCCCTAGTTTAGGTATTTGGTCCACAGAGAGTTCTGTTCGTTTTGTGCGAGGTCAGGAGCGAAAAATGAGAGGATGCCGAAGCCCGAGTTGCACTTTCCGGTACCTTGTCTCTAGAACTCGTACAAAATATACATTTCTGTATATACAAATGTAACACGCGTTTGTAATTTCTCCCCAGAGAGGAAAGTGGTAACAAGGTGGAAACACAAAATGCCTAGAGCAATGGATGCTCAGCCAAAGTTACTCCTCTTTACACCTTTGCCACACTCCTGTTCACAGAATGAGTCCGGTTGGAAGGGAGCACTGTGGGTCATCTGGTCCAGTCTCCCTGCTCGAGCAGGATTATCCCAGAGCTCATGGCACAGCATTGCGACCAGGGAGTTCCTGAATATCTATAGTGAGGGAGACTCCACAGCCTCTCTGGGCAGCCTGTTCCAGTGAAACCGCAGAGTAAAGTTCTTCGTGCTCAGGTGGAACTTTCTGTGCATGTTTCTGCCTCTTGCCTTTTGTCTTACTCCCTCAGATGTTATCAAAACTTTGCAAGACACCGTGTCCTGGATTTTAGTTATTTCTCACTGTCCCTCTCCTACGTGCTGATTGCTTATTATGATTTTGGATATTAGCACGTTTTATTTCTTATTGTATTTATTTAGTTGGTTCAACAAGTGTTAAAAGGTTGAGTTGATGTTTCCAAGTCGAATTATCCGTCCCCAGGCTCAAGTTTATGTAAATTTGACTGTGTAAAGATGTAACTTTTTACCGATGTGCTTGATTTGTGGAAACATCCATCCTGTACCCAGAATAAACAATGGCAATTTTCTAAACAAGATTCTGTGTTGAGAGAGCTCCTAAAGTCGGCAACACCGATAGCTTAATCTACCATGAATAATACAGGTTTTTCCTCCGACATAACATGGAGCAGGTAAGTACTGGAAATGCATAGAAAGACGGGGAGAACACATAAAGACAGGGAAGGCAGTTAGGATAAACTTTAGAACAAATATACTTCACTTGCACAGCCTCAGTACTCTGTATCTGCCCTTCAATTTACTTAATCTTGAACCTTTCCTCCTTCCCTTCCTCTCGCAACCCGGGCTTGAGCCAGCCCCGAGCTGCCTTACAAATCATGTCTAGGCATTGGAAAAGCAGCGGTGAGTGGTGCCTGAGACTCGGCACGCACCAGCAGACGGGAATGAGCCTGAGGACAGCGCACAGCGCGGCAGCGGCGCTCCGTCACCGTGCGACCGATCTAGATGCAGGTCTATCACTATGCATATCTATTATCATACAAATTATTACACAGCTCCCTCAGACCTACAGACGGAGACTGCACATCCACCTGCAGGGCAAAGAGCGCATGCGCACTGCCTGAGGAGCGGCTCCCGCCCGCGCGCAGACGGGGACGCGCGGTCCGCGCACGCGCGGCTGTAGCGCGGGGACGGGGTCACAGGGCAGCGGCGTTTTGCGCCCCGCCCGGAGGGTGCGCGCGCAGGCCCGCTCTCGCTGGCCGGAAGCGCTCGCGCATCGCAGCTTCCCCTCAGCGTTGAGGGGGGCCAGCGGAGGCGGCGCCATCTTGGCGGAGCCGTGCCGGGAGCTGCGGGCCCCGTCCGAGCGGCGTGTCCGGTGGG